AGAAAAGGATGAACCTTAAAATGATAAAACAAGGAAACCCATTCTCTCACTTCAGAGTCTGAACTCTCCGATTACAATATAATCATCTGTATTTATATCTCTATAGCCGGAACCAGGTTTCAGGAACATAGACGGCCAAGCTCAGCCAGTTCAGAAGTGTCACAAACACATCAACATAGAGTCACCCGGACACTTTGTTTTACTTTTGCACTGTAAGGATTTTGGACACTGAATAAGACTATTTCCTGAGAGTGGTGAAGGAGGCTATTTACATCAGGGCCCATCATCCTTCACTTAACCGCGACGGGGACCGACATTGTCTACCAGATATCTTTGACCCAGTGTTAACGTCACATGTCAAAGAAGCCACGTGACAAGCCTCACTGGGTCAGTGTACTGAAGAAGACCAGAGTGACTGGTCGAAAGCTCTAGGTGAGAGAACATTTTGTGTTGAATCTAAAGTTTTAACTCTAAACATTTAACTACCAACACAGATGAACTTCTATGATTGAAGCTATCCAATGATGATGTTCCTACCGTACTTTAGAGACAGCGAGTTGCAGAACATATTAGTTGAACGAACCTAAACATGCAGTCGTCCAACTCTAGGAGGCAGCGGTTGTCGTAGGTCTGCCCGTTACTGCCGCACACTGGATCGTAGTGGTCGTTACAGTGCGTATTGCAGTGCTCGTTTCCAGGGTTGAACTGCCGCTTACGTTTCTCGGGTACACCGTTACAGGGGCCATTATATGCCACGGTGATGGTATGGGGGGAGTCGGGATGTTGAGCACTGAAAGAACAAAAGGATAAACAAAGACTTCATATAACAGACTTTAATGATGATTAACAAAAAATATATTTACAAACCATAAAAAGAAAGGACTAGGAATAGAAATGCAATAAAAATATGAAAAAAAAGGCTATAGGAACAATTTAAATGGACACGATAGTGATGAAAAAGTATTTTAACACTATGTCCTCATGGTTAGTAATTCTAAATGTGTATCCTTTTGTAATTATTAAATATATGCGAACCAATAAACAAACAAACAAAACAAACAATTAAGAAACATGAGACACAATTCAATGGCTTTACGACTATACCACAGATAGGTCTTAAGGGTACCCGGGTAAGTTGATTGGCAGTCTAAACTACCCCATCCCACTTGGAGAGGTATGCCCACTTAAGGAATCTCACCAGAAACTCTCAGCTTGCAATGTCCCTGTCGTTCCTGCCTGTGGAGTTTTTATTCATACTGACTCTTAGGCCACGCCAATTTAATTTGTTGGTTCTCGGATTTTGTCAGAAAAAACATGAAGCGACAGGGGAAAAAAAATAAAAATAAAAACAGGTTTAGGCATCCTATTATAGCCCCAAATGGTATGATAGGAGCCATGAAGTCAACACAAAAGGTTGTGTTAATATTCAAACAATAAATTTTGAACTTTTAATCAAACCACTGCATTGATAGATGGAAACACTGCAACAGCTAGGAAGAAAAGGACTTTCCACAACTGTTGGGGGCAAAATATGAGCATTTTTGAGTTGATTCAGAACCAGAAACGTTTTTTTTTTTTGCAAATCAGGAAAAAATGAAGAGGCGAATCCGAGAACCAACAAATTTAAAAATTGGTGTGGCCTTAGGTTGTGGCAAAAAATTCCAACATAAAACTTCAATTTCGAACAAGAAAACTCCAGCTCCAAAAACAGAGGTTTGCAACAGTAGAACGTACCTGAACTGGCAGGCGTCCAACTCCAGGTAGCAGCGGTTGGTGTAGGTCTGATGGTTACTGCCGCACACGGGATCGTAGTGGTCGGAACAGTGCGTCTGGCAGTGATCGGTGCCGGGGTTGAACTGACGCTTACGGTTCTGGGTGCCGCATGGGGCATAATGGGCCAGCGTCAGGGGCTTGTAGTTCCACTGGCCGGAGTACCTTAAAGAAAGGAGCTAGTTAGAGAGGAGTTAATGGAAAATAATATGTTTGCACTGGTAAGGGCTGGGTAGTCAGCTTGGAATTAAACTAGAATGTATGTAATAAGCCATACATGTGGATACTATACGTTGAGGCATGTATACGTAGTCAGTTTCGCTAGAGCACATATGAGATTATATCTGAATTGAATAACAGTAAGTTGGGTTAAGGGGAATGGCGATATTTTGTAACCGTAGATTAACAGGAAGGTCAAATCGGTACCACAGAGTTACTGCAAGCCATTTGTAAGATGTAGATGCGTGCTCTTCCGGCCATGACCTTTTGTTTTGTAACTAGATGCGTACAAGGACGTGCGCTTGTTGGAAGGAGAGGGATAGTGTAAAAGCCATGACATCCGTTATGATAATTAGTAGCTGACCATATGCAAAGAGCTTGGCCAAGCTCAACAATAGTTCTTCTTTGATTGGTTATTCTCACTAACCAATCAGGACCTACCTATCCGCTAATAATTATCATAATAAAGGCCGTTGCATGTTTATACTCACAGCGTGGCGTCTTGGCAAGCGGCGGCCTCCAGCAGGCACGGGTTGTCGTAGGTTACCCCGTTGGACCCGCAGACCGGCTCGATGTTGAACGGGCAGTGTTCCGGACAGTTATGCGGGTTTCCTCCATTCTGTCGGGCAGCCAGAGACTTAGCCTGGCAGCCTGGAAAATGAACATTAGAAATCAGATCTAAACAACAGTTGGTCCAAACGAAAACCTCTTAACCACAGTAAAAGAATGCGAAGGATATGTTACATTTATTGCATATGTTCATGCACATGGGGCTATATGTTTGCATTAGAGTATAATGTTAGATTACTCTGAGTAACAATTACATACTAGAGTAGGATAGAAGGATAAAAGTAAATGTCTTAGGAACTACTAAAAATACATCTATCTAATCTAGATATGAAGAATTTCTCTCTCTCTCTCTCTCTCTCTTTAAAACAAGTGGAGATGAATTCACATAGTTTCTCAACTGTAAAGAAAATGGAAAATGAAGTGATATGGTCCATGTTATATTCATAAGTCCATTTCAAAGAAATTAGGCTCACCGGAATTTTCAACCAAAACAGTAGCTGTTTCAGATACATACCTGATGATGACCGAGAGATTTTGGTCGCAAATTGCCGTTAGTCTAATTTCTCTCACAGGAGTTGGAGAACAGTTTGACTTTTGACCATGTCAATTTGACTATCTGCCACCTGTCACCAAGAAAATACAACAGCACAGAATGAAATTGGCTGGTCACCCCATTAGACACTCTGAAATCCCTGCAGTCCATCTGGTTCTTTGGGAGCCTACTGCTAAGGGGAAAAGAGGTAGGAGGAGACCCAGAGTCACCTACTTAGACAATCTGCGATGTGACACTGACCTGCATGATACCAACGAATTGCGGAGGGCCATGGAAGACCAAGTGCTATGGAGGAGACTTTCTGGATTGGTCCGAGTGAATGAGTGAGTGAGTGAGTGAGTGAGTGAGTGAGTGAGTGAGTGAGTGAGTAAACTCACACCCTCGAAGTGTCTAATTTGTGGCTCTTATCGCCCATCTGGCGTCCCTTAGCGTTGCTACGTGTTATTCTAACTACAGGTATGTTACCAAAATACCAAGCAAAAATGATCCCGTGGGGTCGTGTGGCGTAACTGCAGAGGGTTCGTCTCGGAACCAAGAGTACTGTGTTCGAATTCCGCCATTCCTCTGATGTTGTGCCATTGGGAAGGGCACTTTACACTTTCCTTAAGCCTCGGTCACAGCCCTCCGTACGTGCTTTTTGTCCGTACGTTTTTTGGGAGGCTACGTCTGCTACGTTTTTTTTACTGAAAACGTGGGGAAGGAGTGGCATATCGACGCACGTCACTCGCACGTCACTCGCGCAGTTTCGGAAGGTGTAAGAGTGGGGTCTGCACGCCACGTCTGGCCGTGAGCGGTTGCGTGCATCGTACGTTGCGCAAGTGGTAAGTGAGTTGTATGTGCTTACAACGTACGATCTCTGTGCGATTGCAACTTTACCGTAAGGAGAGCGTACTCACACGTGCGTCTTTCGTACGGTACGTACGGGGCACGTGCGTCGCCCGTACTCGCACGCACGGGTGGTGAATCCGTAGACCGCACGCAGAAAAAGTTTTACGTGTACTTAAAGTTCTACGGCGTGTCTGCGTGCTCCCAAATCCGTAGGATTCCGTACGGAGGCGGTACTCAACACGCACGGATGCCCTACGTTTGCCCACTTTTTTGCACGTAGACAGCACGCAGAAGCACGTACGGCGGGTTGTGACCGAAGCTTTACTATTGTATTGTCCTCTGTACATTGCGGCATAAAAATAAGTTGCCGTCACCACATCTTGTGATTACATGTTGGAATAATTTTTTGATTTGCTTACCAGCTATCAGAATAGTAAAAATGATTTGCTTACCAGCTATCAGAATAGTAAAAATGATTTGCTTACCAGCTATCAGAATAGTAAAAATGATTTGCTTACCAGCTATCAGAATAGTAAAAATGATTTGCTTACCAGTTATCAGAATAGTAAAAATGATTTGCTTACCAGCTATCAGAATAGTAAAACTGATTTGCTTACCAGCTATCAGAATAGTAAAAATGATTTGCTTACCAGCTATCAGAATAGTAAAAATGATTTGCTTACCAACTATCAGAATAGTAAAAATGATTTGCTTACCAGCTATCAGAATAGTAAAAATGATTTGCTTACCAGCTATCGGAATAGTAAAAATGATTTGCTTACCAGCTATCAGAATAGTAAAAACATTTTCCTTACCAGCTATCAGAATAGCAACGAAGACCATCTGCATGATAGCCATGATGCCCCTTGCTGTTGTCTGGATTGACTTCGATAATAACACAGTAGCCGTACGCGTAAGTTTTTACAACAAATTGGCTTTTTTTTTGCTTGAAGAGCCTTACTTATATCAGTGAATTTGTTTTGACCGTGGCTTTTTTTGGCACTGGAAGCAGGATGTGGCCTCGTTTACACTCGAATAAATATCCGTTTTTGGCTGCGCCCGTTTACACACACCAATATAATGTGTCGGTATGGCCTTAGCTTGATATATTTGTTCCGTAAGTATTCGTTTGTTCCCTATGTAACTTTTACTAAAAATAAATGCAATTTATATTTAGTAAAAGCTATAAGGTCTAGGACCCTTAATCTATGCTGAAAAGACGTGGTAACACTCATTGTACGGTCGTCATACATTCGAGTCTGTTTTTTACATAGTCGTTCACAGAATAAAATTCAGCTATCATGTAATGCCGAAACGATAGCGGTAGATTCATTCGGCTGTTGGTTCTATCACAATTAGCCTGAAAATGTCAGGACTTACTAATCTCCAAGCAGATCCCTATCGGTGGCAAAAAGACAGTATCAAATTGGCCAGGCAGTATCCATTAGCCAGAAAAGGTCCACGGCCACCGACGTTGGTGGGGGTAGCGACAAAAAAAAACAAAACAAAAAAAACAAAAAAAAAAAACGGCCACATATAAAAAGGTAACGATCATTCCCCCACAACCTCTGCTTGGAGAGTAAGGACTTACGACCTTCGACGAATGTCACCACAGCCTAGCTCAACTTTTATGGCTACCTTTGTTGATCTTTCATACTATATCATTATGATAATGTTTTGTCAGCTTAAACTTGTTCATAATTGTGTTCAGTCAGTCTGCGTAAGGTACAGAGACAATGGTCTCTGAGGGAGAAAATACGCAAGATGCTGATCTACGTTTTTATTCAAAGAATGAGAATTCATTTCATCCTTCTTTCATGACACTGTTGTCGAAGTCACCCTCTGGTGATGAAAGCGGGATGACAATTTAGGACACCATCAAAGGCTCGAAAGGCTCAAAAATGCCGCCACCATTGCAGTCACCATGGTACGCCACGGTGATAGGCTCCAAGTTGTTGGCCCTGAATTTTAAGCAAACATATTAAACGTCAGTCTAGAAGCATAGTTTTGAGATGGAGGACAGTTTAATTCTCACTGTACCTTTCCTTGGTTGAACAAAAATGCCTTGAGCAAACAGCTACAGCACTATCTATTACTACTACTACTTCTACTTCTACGACTACATGCACAACTACTACACTCCTGGTGCTGCTGCTACTACTACTACAACTGCTTCTGCTTCTGCTGTCACTACTACTTCTACTACTACTACTACTACTACTATCACTACTACTACTACTACTACTACTACTGGTGCTGCTGCCACTACTACTACTACTACTACTACTACTACTACTACTACTACTCTACTACTACATAATTACTACTACTACTACCACTTCTACTACTACTACTACTACTACTACTACTATTTCTACTACTACTCGTTGCTACCACTACTACTACTACTACTACTACTACTACTACTACCACTACTACTACTACTACTACTACTATTACTACTTTACTACTACTACTACTACTACTACTACTTACTCTGCGACGCAGGAGGCGGCGTTGAGTTCGCACATGTTGCCGTACGTCAGGCCGTTGCTGCCGCAGATTGGCGAGTAGTGAGCCGGACAAATCATCGGGCACCCTGAGTTCAAATCCCAGAGGTCGAACTGACGCTTGGCGTCGTCCCTAACGGATCCGCACGCGCCATGATAGGCGGTGGTCAAGGGTTCGAAGTCGGGCTCGTTAGAGAACCTTGAATTAAAAAAAATTGAAAGGTGACATTTGCAAAGCAAAACGGTTACCTTCACATAAATGGCCTAGACTTACAAAGTACTGCTCTGTTTATTCTTAATCAAACACGTACACCGACTCCCTTGCTACATCATGTAACCCAACACTACAGCGTGTCTCCTACAACACTAGTTACCATGGAGACAGCCGCCTGATCCAGGTCATTGACCTTAACGGAAGAAGAAGCTGAGCAAAAACAATATGCTTTCCTTCTCAGTGATTCAACTTTAGGTGTTGCTTTTCGTGTGTGCTGCTGTTTCAAAACTGATATAAATGTTTATGACTTTCAAATTCACGAATATTTATGAATTTTTTTTCAAAATGCGAGACAGTAGTACGAGACTACAGCCGAGGGAATGCTGGGTAAAAATCAAAATGGCCACTACTCTTCCCATGATGCCATGCGTTCCTCGTCTTGCCAGCACACCGCCATCTTGCTGCCCCCCTCCCCAGCTCAAGTTTGACTTACTGTGCGGCGAGTTGGCAGGCGGCGATTTCCAGCTCACACTGGTTGCCATAGGTGACAGCGTCCGACCCGCAGACAGGCATGTGGATGAACGGACAGAAGAACGGACAGCCATTCTGCCGGACGGACTTGGCCTGCGAACCTGCAATGGAAAGGGGATGGGGATATTTTCATAAGGTTGGTGAATGATTGCATAGTAAAGTTGTTTATTCACAACCACTTGTTAAACAGGGTTCGACTTTTCAGTTGATATTGCAATATATATTTCATACAACAGTACTTTACATTTGGGATCTATCTCAAATAGGTTATACATATCTCACTACTTCACGTTAGGTACCGACTTGTTAGCGTCTCTCAATATACCGATCCTGAGAAAAACTATGAAGGTATCCTTAGGACGAACATGTTACATGTATTTGTTTTCTTACATATTTAGAGAGTGACGTTGAGCTAGGTCTGAATTATCGTGAGAGATCTACCATCTGCTTCTCTGTCTGTTTTTGACATAACTATTGTCTAAAGATGCGCCATATGGCTACATTTTTTCCAGTGATGCACTGTCTGCTTTCCTGCACATGATTTTTTTCAATCAATCAATCAATCAATCAATCAATCAATCAATCAATCAATCATTCAATCAATCAATCAATCAATCAATCAATAAGTCAGTCAGTCCTCCTTCATATTTTAGGGTCAACTAACTGACTAACTAACGAATACATCAAAGCACATACAATTCGTGCATACTTGTAACGGTCTTCGCACAGTGCCGCGATTTGAACTTTTTTTTACAAAATCTGGGGGAGCTTTTGCTGTTGCTTTTTTTCAAGCATTTGCTTAGCAAGTTATGGGAGCATCTTATATCCAGTTTAGATATCAAGCTTCAAGTAAAATTTTCTGGCAACATGATAAAAGAGAACTAATGGAATTTCTAAAATTTGAGAGACAAATCAAATGATATAGTACTGTACCGGCCAACAAGACGGCAGCCAACAAACACCTCAGGATGACCATTGTTAATGTTGAGCAGTTTCTCAGTGAGTGGTATAAAGCACTAAATGTTAACTCGGTGATTCTCAACAGTTTTGTGTGACCAACGTTATGATAAAATCTCACAGGATATGACGCAAATCCGACTGATGACGGCAGCAATATGTTTGCTCTGAGTACACGGCAGCGTTCTCGACTCGGAACCAGAGGCCCCGGGTTCGAGTCCTGACATGCCACCGATCTTGTGCCCTTGGGAAAGGCACTTTACACGACTTTCCTCACTTCGCTCAGGTGTAAATGAGTATTGTACTGTCCCTGTGTTGGTGGCGGCATTAATTTAAGTTGAAAAAACTTGAGTGTGCCGTCACGACGTCTTGTGATTGCATGTTTCGGAATATAAAAAAAAAGATAGTGCGCACGGCTGTTTTGTCAGTACGTCAAGAAACCGCTAGGGATCACAAAAACATGTTTTCTACTATTATCATGGTCAAAATCGTTCGAAATCAAATGATCATTTAAATACGTTAAAATGAAAAAAATAAGGAGCATCATCACGGGCATGCCTGCAGACGACGTATTAAATTACATGCCGATTAAACAAAGAGAATCGTGTGTCTTAGCTGCGAACGCGAAAACCAACTGACCACAATACTCCTACAGGAGGGATATACCTCCTTCACAGAGTAATAAGGCCACAAATAAAGACTGTGACATATTATATTTTCCTCGAATGTCGTTTATTCAGCAGAATTTGAATTCCCGCAGCGTTGTCGAGGTACGTTTGTATATGGTTGACTGCAGCGCCACCTAGCAGGTGGAGCGTTTAGGACACCATCACTGCAGCGCCACCAAGCGGGTGGAATGTTTAGGACACCATCACTGGCCCAATGTCCGGAAAGAGCATCCCCTCCCCATTGCAGCCGCCTTGGTGTGCCAGGGTGATCGGCTCGGAATCGGGGTCGTTGAAGCTAGGATTGAATATAAAGAACGTACTTAAAAACGTATTTCTTATCTGCAGTTTGTGTCAAATTCAAAAGCACTAATTAGACACTGAATTAATTCATTGTTTACCAAATGCTGTTTGGACGTAAAACACAAAAGAAGCATATAGTCAGTAAATATCACGCATGATCATAGGCTGGAATACATCGGATTATTCCCTACTCACTATTGTCCGTTCTAGGATGATCTCCAAGCAGGTCATGCGGTGGCAAGGCCATTGGCCAGATCTGTGGCAAATGGACACTACTCTGGCCAATGGATACCGCCTTGCGACCGTATGGTTTGCTTGGAGATTATTCTATAAGTCACCGCTGTCCCTAGAAACGGCAATAGTACGTAGGATGGATTCCAGGCTAGCACGGTTATGATGGCAGTGTACTAGAAATATCCAACTGCAGTACTTACGTCGCCATGCAGGAGGCGCTGTTGAGGAAGCAGGAGTTGCCGTAGGTTTGACCGTTGCTGCCGCAGACCGGAGCGTGCTGGAGGGTGCAGAACATCGGGCAGCCGCTGGCGGAGTCCGTAAACTGGCGCTTCTCGGTCTTCCTAGCGCACGCGCCGCCATGTGCATAGATCAGCGGCTCGAAGTCAGCCTGATTGGAGAACCTGGGAAAAGGGAAGAAAAATGCATCGAGCTGTATCGCAAATGCACGGGAATTCCGCGGTTAAGAAATCTCACGCGTGCGTTACCTCGTATTGGGCCACACTATATTCGTGACACACCAGGAAGCAAATATACCAATGGACAAGGTTCTCACAGGAAATCAAACCTTCGGGAAGTATTTAGAGTTTTTGGACATTCAATTGCATGATAACGAAAGAGATACCCTTTGCACCCAGTGTGACGTCACACTTCAGTGAAGCCACGTGACAAGTCTCACTGGGTCAGTCCACTGAGGAAGACCAGAGTGACTGGTCCAAAGCTCTAGGTGAGAACGACTCTCTTGTGTCGGAACGAAAGTTTTACTTTAAACAGGTTGAGAGCTTGTGACCAGCCCTATGTGGGTATCTCAAAAGCTGTCTTGAAGAAGCCACGTGCACATTTCTTTCCACTTTCAAATTCTAATAGGCAGAGAGAAGGCTTGTACTACGAAAGACCATAGCGACGATACGACAAGGCATTTACCGGGCCATTTCTGTTCGTTCTACACCCATTTGTATTTGGCTACCTGTCGAGTTTGGGTGTGGAACGGTGAAGAAAGGGTATGGAACGAAGAGAAATGGCACGGTGAAGCCTTGTGGTATTGCACCTATGGTCTTTCGTATTGTACTCACTGTACGGCCAGCTGACAGGCGTTGACGTTGAGGTCACACATGTTACTGTAGGTCTGGCCGTTAGACCCGCACACAGGCATAAAGATCAGCGGGCAGAAGCTCTGGCACGTGGTCTGTCGGCTAGCCAGGGACTTCGCCTGGGAGCCTGCGACGAGGTTAATCGACAGAGAGAGAAATGAACGGAAAGAAATGGTACGGTGAATCCTTGTATTGTACCTATGGTCTTTCGTATTGTACAGTTAGCCACAGGGACTTAATTTTATGGATGACATCCACGCGCGCATTGATTTTCGCCTGTCCTAAAAAAAGAAAAAAAAAAACTCGTCTAGCCTGGCTCTACGCCTGGGTAGTCCATGGTAGTTAGCGACAATACGGAGCCTGTGGTAACCCTGGAGGATGGCACCGTTCCAAAGCTCCACAGCTCAAGAACTCAGTACATACGTGCAGTGCCGATTCATAAATTCCGCAAAAAGCCAGCATGTGCCGGCTTGTCGTATACGTCGCTATGTACTGCCGCAAATTCACAATACCAGCTTTGTATTCCTGTGGTTTAGTAGCATTTTTATTTTTGGCCGGAATTTTTTTTTATTCGCCCGCGCGCACTAGTTTGGGGTCTTCAGAGGATGTCATCCAGAAAGTTAAGGCGGTGTGGCCTTACGGCTATCGCGACCATCTGACCCCGTATCCGTGAGTACATGAGAATCGTACCAGCTGTTTTTAACGGCCCTTTTCGACGTGACGTATCACGGTGACCGCGCCATGTACCATATGGACACGCAGTATTATATCGATGCGTTCCCAATTACAATAATTACAGATCGTTTTAATATACTTTCCGCCACCAACAATAGTATAATATGCTGTCAATTGAGGTCTGACTGTCAGTTCAGAAATACGTATTTTAAAAATGTGTATAAATTGTTGTATGTTTAGTGTTTATGTGGTTTTATGTTTGTACTGTGGGGATAACCTGAAATAAAGTCATTCATTCATTCATTCAATGCCAACTGTACTATAATGAAAAGTGTAAATTTTTATCATTATTATACCACGGTTTGATTTTTATTTATCGATCGTTATGCGTAGCAAACCGGGGGTTATAGAATTAACGTACCACGCATTATGACCAGTATGGTCTATCGAGAAATATAACAATCGAAATAGTTGTTGTGTATTCTCGTATATTTAGCTATAATCTTGCACTGTACTTTATTTCTAGTTCTAAAAACTCGAACAATTACAGTATTCAGTAAGTGGATATTTCTGCAGTGAGGCCGAAAATACAGAATCATAAAAATGTTTCAACATTATATTCTCGCCTACCCCATTCGGTGACAAGTAACGTTCATACACCCATATATATATCTAATTAAATATGTTGCGAGAAAAATATTTCTAACGCAGTAAGCTAATATACTTACATACATTATCAATTTTAAGTGCAGAGATAAAACATTAGCTTAGTAGAGGTAGAACTTTATGTTAGCACAGGTTTTAAACCATTTTTCAATACATTCTGTACTTGTCAGTTTGCAATTAGGCCTCGGGCCTGAACTTACAATAAAGATATTTATGATAATATTGGAGTATAGTTTTAAAAGTACGAAATAAAAATGTAGGAGAAATAAGTATGGTACTATACCAGCTACAAGGAAGGTGACCAGGAAACACAGGATAACCATTGTGGTAAAGGCTTGTCCAAGAGGCAATGGAGAATGAAATATGTGAACTTGTTTTGTTTTTTTCTCAACACTGGTGTGTGTATTGTTACGCCGTAATTTATATATACTCTATTCACACAGGAGGTGACGTAACCAGCAACAATGTCAACAACTTGTTGTTACTCTCTTGAACGGTGACGGTGGGAGATTTCGTCTTCCCGCCACTTTTGATGCACTCCTGACGTCATCACGCTTCCGAAGAGTCAGCGATTGCATCACACATCTGACGAAGGTTGACGAGATCGACCGAAAATTTATGGTGAGTTCCCTTTCTTGTGTGGGAACAGAGTTCGAATTTTACAACTATGCCAAGCTTTAATTCAAAGTTGTTGTTACTTCTGCATGTGTGCGAATGTGTTGTTTTGGACCTGTTTTTTATTTTTATTTTATTTTGTGCGTGTTTGTGCATGTCTGCAGGTATGGTATTTTGTGTGTGCAGTTTGTGAGCACTTGTTTGTGCATGTGTGCGGACATGTTATTATGTTTACCGAAGGGAAACATTGTTTTTGCTCCATTTCTTCTTCATCTGTTCCAAACACTTACCTCTGACCTGGCCAATGGCCTCTTTTGTTGACGTCTGTCACCATAGTAACTGGTGTTGGGTTACATAATGTTGCCATTTCATAGTAGGCATTTAGACTCCTGTCACCATATACATGTATGTGAATATGTTTAAGTAAGAATTAACAGGGCAGACCATGTCCGAAGGTAAACATTATGCATTTGCTTTGCAAGTGTTACTTTTCTAGTTTTGGGTGTGTTTTGTTAGAGCTCCTGTGCATTTTTGCGGGTGTGTTGTTTTGGGTGTGTATTTGTGGGTGTTTATTTGTACATGTGTCATTTTCTCTTGTGTTTTCTTGAGTGGGCACGTGTGCGGATGTGTAATGTAGTTTTGGGTGTGTTTACTAGTATGTGCGCGTTTACTTAGGCAAGTATTTGTGTGCGGATGTATATATATGTCAATTTGGGTGTGTTTTTGTGAGTGTTTGTGCGTGTGTGCGGATGCGTAGTTATGGGTGTGTTTGTTTGTTTGTTTGTGTGCGTGTTTGCTCGTGCATGTGTGCAAATGTTTAATTTTCAATCAACGTAGCACTCCGTTCTGTTGACAATTCCTGTGTGTCCACTATCAAAAGTTCTTTCATTCATTCATCTATTCATTCATTTTTACTCATTCCATCATCTAAATGATCAAGAATGACAAAAAAAATTGAGGACTTGGATGCATTTTATTATTATATAAGCGTCTTAAACATCCCCTTATTGCGAGAAGAAATCAAAAAGAAGTTTTTAATGCGATACACGAATGTCGAGCGTTAAAAGTATACGTGTCAGCGACGCCGCCTTGCGGGTACTGCTGGTAGGACAACGTTGGAATTTGTCCGTTTAGCACATGCCCGGGTGAGCGAGGGTGATGGGCTCAGCCTCGGGGTTGTTGAAGCTAGAAAAAGAAGAAATATGTTAGCATGAAAGTTCATCTGTGTTGGTACAAGTCATTATGAAACAAAGACTAAACTTTAACTGCCAACGCTAACTACTAAGAATTGGGACTTATCCCAAATTTTCGGTTGACTGTATCAACCTTGCTGTTTACAAGGGGTTAAAATCCTTAATTCTGAATAGGACTTCTTTGCAAGAGGAGTGAAGGAAGCGGTATACCTAAGAGCTCACAAACCTACTCAAAACAGAGACGGGGGGGCGACACAAGTTATCTGACACGTATTACCCACTACTACGGCCACGTGTCTCTGACGTCACGGTCCAAGAGTAGACGGGCCCATTCCGTGAACAAGGTTGATGGAGTCAACCGAAAATTTGGGGTAAGTCCCAATTCTTTGTAGTAACTTAGTGATGACAGTTAAAGTTTAGTTTTTATTTCATAAAGAAATATGTTGTCAGACAATTGTATGTGTAATCTTTTAGCAAAAACATAGATTGAAAACATTATGCAGAATGTCATGAGAATCGTTGTGAAATTATACAGTTTATATTGTCACAGGATTACAAAGTTAACGTATTTCCAAATCACGAGATCAAAAGCGGAAGTTCAACTGCAGTACCAAAACAAGCCATCAGGGGTGAAATATTTAGAACACTGCAACTCGTTCGTATAAAAAATGTGGTTTGTCGATAAAACAAAATGGCGACTGAAAATAAGGTTGCAGTTCTTACCTCGACATGCAGGCGGCGCTGTTGAGCTGGCAGGTGTTGCCGTAGGTCTGGCCGTTGCTGCCGCAGACCGGGGCGAACTGGAAGGTGCAGAACGTGGGACAGTCGGCGGCGGTGTTGATCTGGCGCTTGTTGTTTCCGCACATCCCATTGTGGGACACCGTCAGGGGCTCGAAGTCAGGCTCGTTCAAGAACCTGAAAGGATGGAATTAGTGTTGGCGTCGTCAAACTTCAGAAAAGCCACGTGACAAACCTTGCTGGGTCAGTTTACATTGAAGAAGACCAGAGTGACAAAAGCTCTAGGTGAGAAAATTAACCTTTTTGAGTTGGAACAAAATTTTTAATGAAATTAGAAGTGGTCGCTTTCTTCCCATACTGGTGCGGTGGTGGTGTTAATTTTTTGTTTGTTGGAAGTGATTTTAACAGACTACGAACAGGGAGTTGTGCTTCGGATGGAGTGTTGCTAAGGAGGGAGTTTTGTCGCGTATACCACTCCGCGACATACCTTCCTTAGCGGCAAGACTTCCTCAACACCGTAGAGATACCGACGAGCCTTCGATGGTCGGTCTACCAGGCTAATTTCGTATTGCAGATGAATTAGGCCACACCGACTTAATTTTATTGATGACATCCTCTGAAGACCCCTAAACTAGTGCGCGCGGGCGAATAAAAAAATTCCTGCCAAAAATAAAAATGCTACTAAACCACAGGGATACAAAGCTGATATTATGAATTTGCCTCAGAACATAGCGACGTATAAGACAAGCCGGCACATGCTGGCTTCTTTGCGGAGTTTATGAATCGTATGTACCGTTATCTTGAGTCGTGGAGCTTCGGTAGCCTGGGTGCCGTTCTCCAGAGTTACCGCCGGCTCCCTATTGTTGCTAACTACCATGGACTACCCAGGCCTAGAGCCAGGCCAGAGCCTCGGAGGACGTGATCTTTTTTTTTTAGAACAGGCGAAAATCATCCGTCAAATTAAGTTGGCGTGGCCTTAGTTTTGGTACTCACTGGGCGGCCAGCTGACAGGCCTGCACGTTCAGATGACACTCGTTGCTGTAGGTCTGTCCGTTAGACCCGCACACAGGCATGAACACAAACGGGCAGAACGTCTGGCACCCGGTCTGCCGGTCCACCAGCGACTTCGCCTGGGAGCCTGCAACGAGGTTAATTTTTTTTAAGACATAAGACATAAGAAACCTTTATAAGCATGGACAGAATTTGCAAAAGTCTGAATTATTGCTAATTTACAAATACAATAATATCACGGAAGATTAAAAATATTAAAATAAATCATTCATATACATTGACATTCAGTTATATATCATTTACAAATATTCAATTTTTTAAATTATAAATATACATACATATTTAAAAATTACCGGAGGAGTCAATAGCCCGTATATTTTGGTAATGTTAATTTTGTGCTCGCGCAATATTGTAGTAACTACCTTTTTAGTGTATAGTGCGCTCTCTCTTGCAAAAAGACTAGACCCGCACATATTCTATCCGCGCTTGGTGATGACGTTACGTAATATGCTAATTCAATCGTCGCGCGCTACCGGGGTCTCTACTGATTGGCTGGTACCATCCGCCAATCAGCAGAGCTTTTAGTTTTGGCCAATCAGCGCGCCTGATTAAATTCTGAACAAATGTTAGAATGACACGTACAACGGTAAAAAACAAAGACAGAAAGAGTCAGGCAAAAGAAAAAAAGGCACAGAAAGATTTCGTTTTTTAAGACAACGACGAGAAAAAGATAATTAAACGAGTAAACTTTACATTGTAGATGTAGCTTATAACATACACAATGTACTCGTACCGTAAACGGTCATTTGTATTTATTATGGCTGGTTATTTCGTCATCCAAACATCAATTTCGTCAAATAATTGCAAAAACATTGCGTGTAATCATTTTACGGTTAGCAAATGTTAGCTTTTGATCTAAAGCTAACACAACATGTCAAACATATGTTTGCGTATCTGTATTGCGTAGTATGACCGGTATAACACTACGTACATTAAACAATAAATGAGATAATCACTACTTTTGTAGATTAATTTGTTTGTGGAATGTAAACATAACAACGGATGAGTTTTCTGGCGCCAAGGCTTCTACGTGAGAAACCTACCAGCTTTTTTTAAAGCCTAGCTAGAATACCGACAGTATACACATTTCCGTAACGGCTTGCTAGCTTGTTGCAAAGCCAGACAGTGCCTGGCAACCGAGACTAGCTTTTTCAGAGCACAAAGTTTATCATTCAGAATATCTTTCTGTCATTATAATTATGAGTCCATTTTATGGTCAATTAAAGAATTATGATTTAATACCTACGACTCTGGAAGATAGTATTTTCAACTCAACATTTGCTTTTGCAGAATTGCATCAGAAGAAATTTCATACGGTACAAAATGTAAAAAAAAAAGGGAAAAATTGCTTTCTCGTTCGTGTGCCTGTGAAGCTTATGTGTTGTGCTTAGAGGTGGTTATACCCGCTATACAGATACAGTCAGAGATACTGCTACTACTACTACTACTACTACTACTACTACTACGAAGACCTTCATTGCATGACAATTGTAACGGATACAACCTATGGCAAAGTTAAATATGATAGTTGGTGCTAACAAAATCTAACAATTCTAAAAGGTGACAGTTCTAACTCTTCTAAGATACGTGATCTTTGCAGTTCCAAATCGCATAGCATAACTTGATCAACCATGGGTCTAACAATAGCCATAAACAGTCAATGCAATAAAAAGACGAAAGACGATTCAAAACCTTACCGGCCACCACGACTGCCACGATCAGGTACTGAAGGAAAGCCATCTCTTCTTAAGATGCCGGGGATGTCGTATCGATCTGAGTCGCGAGAGAAAAGTCTCAAGAATTGTTCTTTCAACTAATGATCCCCTAGTGGCCTCGCTACGCGAATTTATACCATTCCGTATCACACTCAACCATCAGTAAGTATGCTGACCTCATCCGGTCCGCTATAGCCCGTGTATTTGCCAACTGATTGAATGTTATTGAAAGTTCGCATGACATTTTTAAGAAGCTATTTGCTTTGTCATTTGGCGGGGCAGGAGTTCGGATATGAGGTCATCTGTAGGGTCGGTGCGGTTTTGTGAAGTCAACGAGCCCTTGACATATTTTTTTATGAATCATTGGGTTCTGCAGTTTTCTTGTCAACAGATACCAGCTAAAACTTTTTTTGAGAATCATTTTTTATTATGAATCATTGGGTTCTGCACCTGTACTTATATATATATAAATATACAATATATTGTGTCAAAAGACACCAACGAAAACTTTTTATAAATCATTTTAGATGAATCATTGGGTTCCGAAGATGTCTTTGTATGCATGTATCTTTTTCAAAAGATACCAACTAAAGCTTTTTTGCAAACTTTTCCAATCATAGATTGCAGTTGCAGTACTTGCTTGCTGTATTTTTCATATTCTTTGTATGTTTATGTAAT